AGACTCTTCAGGTGGTAACATCCCTGGGGTTACACAACCACTAACTTCTTGCTGCTATTTCTTTAAAAGGAGGGACGCCGGTCCCACTGGGAGATTCTATCTCCCAGTGGGCAAATTGTTTTGCAACCCATTTCATGCACCATTTAACAACTAGTGCCTATCGAAAGATAATTATTTAAATAATTACGGTAAGAGGTCTTTGGGATCTTCCACCCTAAGAAGATGGAATCACAAAATGTGGACTCTATTTTTATAAAAAAAATAGAGGTGAACTCTATGAAATAGAGGAGTGGTGTGAATCACACATCCACTTGCGGCTTATATCGCAGGCCGCAAGTGGATGTGTGGTTTGCTACACAAATGTCTGTGCGTAAAACAACGAGATCTTACTATTTTCAATTGGAATAACACTTAATTATTACCCCCATTCGGGATTCATTAAGTAACCCATATTAAAGGTTATGGTTTTTATAACAGCAAAAATGAATCAAAACAAATGTCATCAACCTGATTATTTTTATGATTTAAGCCTGGTGGGGGCAAGTTTTTTAGGGGTGCTTATAGCAGTAGGTAAAAAAGATTCCATTATTGGAATGGCAACTAAAATAATCAATCTTATTGTTTTTTGCATAAAGCGTAATAAGTTTTCAATGATAGACTCTATCTACCAGTAGGCACTGAATAAAGGGCTAATCGGCGATAGTTTCTATAACATAGTTTTTGTAATGGTTTCTATAACATCCCTTCTAAAAGAAGGCAGACTACCTCGTTATAATCTTGTAATTCGCTATAAAGCTAGAAATGTAGAGATAGTGGTTAGCATAACCCCTTTTTCTTTATCAAGAGAAAGGGTTTGCATCGGGGCAAATTGCATTGGGCTTGTAGTTTAAAGGTAAAACACGTTGCTCATAACAACGCTGATGTAGGTTCAATCCCTGCTAGGCCCAGCAACACCATTAATCTGTGGTAGATTTTATCTAGAAATCGTACTTGCTTGCAAGATTTGTAATGAATTACGTTTTAGATAATAAATAGAGTAAGTAGAGTTGAATCAATGGTAGACTTTGTCTACCTGTGAGCATGTTGCATTGCGTGAATGCAATTAGCTTTTTGTTGATTAAACAACAAGAAAAAGCGGAGAAGAGAAATGGTTGTCTCGTCAGGCTCATAATCTGAAGATTGTAGGTTCAATCCCTACCTCCGCTCTTTTACAGCCTTATCATTTATCCATCCGTTGCCAATGCATTTGCATTGTTTTATATGGCTTAAATTTTCGTTAAAGGGAGAATTTTTCCGTTGCAACATCTTTCTCAATCAGGTCTCAGTTGCTAAAATTGTGCTTTTTTCCCCCCTAAAAGCAGGACTTTTTTCTCTCATTTTTATAAAAAGAAGAAACCAGAAAGGGTGCCTTCGGCCAGTAGGCATTCCACAGATAAATTCCACTTTTTTACCAATGTAGAAACCTAGCTTGATTGTTCTCAGAAGGGAAATTGATAAAAATTTTTCCCTCTAATAAAAAGGCGGGGTAGTTTAGTGGTAATAACAGTGGAATCATAATCCACACGTCGTGGGTTCAAGTCCCACCCTCGCCCCTCACCAACTAAAGAACGAAATTCATGTGCCCACTAGTGATTCATATCTACATCTACCACGGGTGACTCAATTTAAACACTTGAGATACTGCGCCTTTAGGGGAACACCTAAACACTCTACAATCCCTGAAAAAGTCTCACTAGAAAGCCGGTATCTTGGTTCTTAGTTTAAGCAAGTGTGAACCACCCGATCCCGTCCCGAACTCGATTTGTGAAATTGCTCACTGCCACATGTACTACTTTCAGTGGAAGACGTGGCAAGAGCCAAGATATTGACTTTCTAAAATATTGACGGGTCCCTCAAAAGTTAGGACCAGCGATAAAGATTATTAAATATGCCCACTAGTAGATTATATCTACTAGTGGGCATTAATTTGGGTTGTCCCCAACTTAGAGATTGACTAAAAGAAGCCAGTGGCTTACCCATAGAGAACTCAATTTAAGAATTTCTATTGAGAAAGCTTCTCTCAAAAAAGGGAGTCAACTAACGCTTCTTAATCTGCGCCTAGTAGCATTACAGATAAGACGCCTGCCAAATTTGGCTTTTCAAGCCTTGTGGAATAAATTCTGCAACAATTAAAATCTTGCTTTTGTAACAATCTCCCAGCCTACAAAACAAAAATTAAGTGTTACCATCGCTTGCACTGTTCTATAATGTAATGACTGCAACCATAAAGGGTGAGTGTCTGAGTGGTTGAAGGTACCGGTCTTGAAAGTGCGACCTGAGAGGAATATAGCCCTTTAAAGCAAAAGCCACTCTCAAGAGATATATTTGAGAAAGGGGTTGACTCCAACAATCAACTCCAATCCTAAAACAGGCAATCCTCTATTTCTTTGTAGGAATTAGATCCACATGTAGGCCTCGATTAAGGATTCGGCAAACAAGTATACTCGGCTGATAAGTGTACAAATCAGCAGCTGACCTGAGCATGAAAATGCTTACTAAAAGGAACAGTAGCATGCTGCGTAACCCCGTAATGGGAATAGCTCATAATTTTAACTAAATGTGAAAAGGTTTGATCTATTCAGCGAGTTTAGGGTTGCATTCCACTTGAGAGCTCTCAAGTGGAATGCAACCCCGCTACCAGAATCAAATCGTTCCTTGTTTGAGCCTGAAACCAAGACAGGGTGAAACAACATCAATTCCGGCTCTTAAACACTACCGTCTAACCACTCTCTATTACCATAAAATCACCCCGTAATTTGCTTTTAAGCAAATAAACAGCGTGTAAGGGGAAGGGGGCTGACTATGCTCACCAACTTCGCAAACAGAAGCAATGCTTAAAGGCAAGTAGGAAGAGGTAGACTTTATCTTCAAAAAGGAATAAAAGATACTTCTCTCGAAAGAAAGGAACTTCATAAAAGATTAATTACTTGCTGTTATGTTGTAATTTTCAAGGCAACTTAAAGGCCGTAGCAAGAGATAAAATTTTTTTTTGAAACTCTTTGGATAACAGGATAAAACACTCTAAATAAAATCCTTAATTCCTTAACCTAGTTCTTTACCATGAAAAAAGCATTACATTTGCTTGCTTAGTTTTGCCGCAGATTTGCAAATCTCTAGTTTTAATCTATAAAGCTGCCAATTCTGGCGCGTAAACCTCAAGCATCATTAAATGAGATATTGGATTAGCGATAAGAGCGTCAAACGGAACACCTACCTCTTGAAAAGAGCTTCTATTTAACCAGGACATTCGTTAATAGGTATTAATAAAGTCCCTTAAACGATAAGAGAGGTATTAAAAGACCACTGGTAGATGTAATCTAACGTTGAATCTTTTTTATCAAAACTACCTTAAGCAACCCAAATCACAAGCTAAGCATTGTAAACAAAATAAAGTTTCTGCCTTAATTTACAAGTGTTAAGTTTACTAGATTGCAAAGCGAAGCAATATACCCACCGGTAAATATAGTAAATATAATATAATATAATATAATCTATCGTTGGATTTAAAACAGAAATAAATTGTAGACCAATGCAGTAAAAAGCGATAGAAAATGGGTTCCCTGAAAGCCGTATGCGCCGAAAGTTGCACGTACGGTTTGGGAAAAGATTTCAATGAGATTGTTGTTTTCAATAGAGAGTCAGCACCATTGTATTCTATTTTCATACCGGCATACCTGCAAGGGTATCGGGGGTTCGAATCCTCCCTCACCCGCAAAAGATCTCTTAATTAAAAACCTGATATAAATAAGGCAAAACAGCAAGACCAAATAGTAAAAAGTTCTCAATCTAGCAATACCCTTCCCTTCGATGGCCAGGGGCTGTGGGGCCCCTCCCCCATCCTAATGAACCTCTCTCTGAAGCCTAGCCATCTCCTATCCCTTCGATGGCTAAAAAGCCCCAACCCTAGTTTACCAACTAATGAAAAAGACATACCCAACAAGGTGAATAAACCAGATGGTGATAAAGTCTTTAATTGACTCCGAATTGAAAATAAGGAATCAATATAGCAACTCTAATAGGTAGATTAACTATGCACTCATAGGTATTAAACACCTATTCCATAAAAGATAAGAGATGCGTAGAAGGGTGATTAGCTCAATTGGTAGAGCAACTCGCTTACAACGAGAAGGCTAGTGGTTCGAGTCCACTACTACCCACGAGTTAACACTGGTAGATTCTATCTACCGTTGAATCTTAATCCTCTATTTCTTTCTAAAAATAGAGTCCACCTCAACACAAAAATTCTCTTTCGATTAAATAGAAAAAGAAGCCATCCTTCTTGTCGTGCTTGTGCAAGGGAAAAGACTTAAATCAGCCTTTTTTTTAAGAGATACCTCTCTTGTACAAAAAAGGGTAAATTGTGTGCTGTTCAGCCGGTTAAACCGGGTTTAACCAACAAAAAAAGTTCGATAACTGTTCGATAAAAATATTGATGCGGACATGGTGAAATTGGTAGACACACTAGGTTTAGGCCCTAGAGGTTTAAAGCCTTGCGGGTTCAAGTCCTGCTGTCCGTAATCATCTAATGTTAAAATAGAATCCTCTATTTCAATGTGCCCAGTGGCAGATAGAGTCCACCTCTCTATTTGAGAGAAATTTCCTCAAGGTCTTACATCATTGCATAATGTTGTGACCCATTTAGAATGGCGAATATAACTTAGTAGGTTAAAGTGCCAGACTGTGACGTGCGGCTCAAGAGGGACGTAAAACGTTGAAGTTCTTCTTCTGCATTCAATGCCAAGTGCGCAAATCCAAGCTTACCTTGAAATGAAAATTTCATAGGGACAATAGCATGCTGACAAAAAGGTTTACACTCTCTGCGAACAGCTAAACATTATAAAAATGGAAGAAAGCTGATCTCGATAAATTGCCAAGCCATCCCCTTTGCTAATCAGGGGTTCGTTGACCACCCCCAGCCATCGAAGGGGCGTCCATCGAGCCCCATCTTTAAAAACTTGCTAATCGGCTGTTTCCTCTCTTTCAAGAGAATTTTCCTCACATCCAAGCACACAAGAAAACATTTGTGGCAATGGGTGAGCGCGTGTAAATGAGTTACATTTGGTATATAAAATCTACCATTGAGCTTATTGATAAATAGAGTCTAACAACATAGACTCTATGAAATAAAGGAGGGACTCTATTTTTTTATAGAGAGGGAGAATAAATTATATCTACCAGGGGGCAAATTGAGTGTATTTCCATAAAGGATAAAAGAAAGACATGGCTAGGCATGATTGTTGAGAAACACGGGAAAAGAGAAAAAAAGCTCTCCCGAAAAAAAAGCCTGAAACCGAATATACCTCCTTTCTGCTGCAGGCGGGGCATCGCAAAGCAGCAGCGCAAATAAAGAAGCCACTTAGCTTATGCTAGCTATTGGTCACAGAAGCTAGTAAGCATTGTAAGCAGTGTAAATTTTGATTCTCGACTTGCGAAAATGTGGACTTTACTTTAAATTTAAGAAAATAGAGGAGTTCCATCGGTTCTATTAATCCGATGCAGAAGGGGGAGAAAAAGGGGCCTTAATCTTTACTGTTGCAACTGTTGTCGCTGCCATAACGCATTACACGAGAGCCGGCAACCGTTGTTCAATGTAGCGCTTTACGTCTAACTGAGATAACTCGCTGCCAATCAAGATTGAAGCGAGAAGAAAGATTTTTTGGGGGGGTGTGTATTGTCTAAGTCACTTGAAAATAATTCACCCGTCGCACCGAGAGTTTAAATCTTAGAGAGCTTTTCTACCCGCTGGTAGATATAATCTACCTTTGACTATCTATCTGCATTATAGAGCAAAAGCTTTTAGAGAGCTCCCTGCAAAGAGACTTGCATGGGGAGTTCGGGAAGAGGGTGTTACTCATAAAGAATTTAGTGGAAAAGAGCTGATTCTTCTCTTGAGAGAAAAATTTCCTCAATCAGAGCTCTGTTTGCCAATTATGCAGATTCTAAAACAGAACATCCTACTTTCATTCTGGAAACACGGGTTCAAGCCCCGTTATTCGCCGGTTAGGCTGAAATAATACCCTATATGCATTGTCGCGAAAAGAATTCTCTGGTTACCCTTCAGTGTAAAAAAGCGAAAGAGCTCCACAGCGAAAAGGGTGGACTTTTTTATAGAAATAGAGAATAGATTCTATCTACCTACTGGTAGACAAAGTCTACCAGTGGGCGCATTGAAATAGAGGAAAGATCGATACCATAGCGGATATGTATTAAAGGTAAATAATCTGCCTTCCAAGCAGAGAATATGGGTTCGATTCCCGTTATCCGCTCGAGCGGTTGCTTTGCAAAAACCTTGAGGAATTTTCTCTCTAAAGAAAGGTGGACTCTATCTGCCCACTGGTAGACAAAGTCTACCAATGGCAGATAAAATTTACCAGTAGACACATTGAAATAGAGGAATCCATCCCGAGAACTGAGATCCACTTAGATAAAGTTTAATAAAATCGTTAAGGTTGTAAAGAAAAATTATAAAACAGTATCCATCAAACAAATGCCAATCAACAACTGGCTTGCAAAGCCTGATACCTAACTCCCATTCCCTTCCCCTTGAGAACGAAACAAACTCCGATTGCCGGTTAGGACCTTGCAAAAGCCGCTCACAATACCCCTCCCTTAATGTCTTAAGGTATCGGGCCTAAAGCAGATCGCTCTCAGGGTGTAGCGCAGCCTGGTAGCGCACCTGTTTTGGGAACAGGAAGTCACAGGTTCAAATCCTGTCACCCTGATAAGCAGAAGACTAAAGATGTTTTTTTTTAAATGCTGACTGCCAACAGGCGTGACTTTCCTTCAGCGAAGGAAGAGTTGCATTGCACATGCATCACAAAGCTATCAAACCGATTTAAGTGTAAGTGCACACCAGAAGAAAGCGATACATATCGCCCTACAAAGTAAATATAGACATCCAACTAAAAAGATACTTGATGCCAAAAGTCTATTTTAAAATATCGATAAAATCATTTGAGCATTCTACTCTCCAACTAGTAAAAAAGAAAATTGAAAAGCTTTGCATTTTCATTGACTCCATGGAAGCTCTGTCTTCAAGCATGGGGAGCTCAGCTTATGGCTCACAACCAGTGAAATGCAAAGCAACGCAAGAGCAGGTTACCCCTCTAGCTGTTCTAGACATCTCCAAAAAAGAGAAGAGCTACTCCTCTACCTACCTGCCGTCATCTAAAAGACGGTTTACTTTATTAAGATCGCCGCACATTGACAAGAAATCTCGAGAGCAATTTCAACTCCAAACTTTCAAAGCTGAGATAGATACCAGCTATTATACTAGGGGTAAAGCTTGTTTGCTCCTACTATTTTTAAGGAATAGTCAATTGATGGGGGTTGAGCTTAAGATAGCCATCAATTATTCAACCCCGTTCTCCCCATAATTCAGTTGCCATAGCTCTGTCTCTATTAAACACTAAATCCAATAATAAACTGCTATCTACCAATCGGCACTCAATGTGCCCACTGATAGGTATAATCTATCCTCTATTTCTATAAAAAAGTCCATCTCTCTTTCATAAAGTCTACATTGGTAAACAAAGTCTACTAGGAGGCACTCGCAATGGTATAGGGCAAGACTTTACTTTTGCGCCAGCTGGTTAACCGCAATCGTGGATAGACTTCGAGGATCAAAAAACAGTATCACACGTCCAAACCGACATTATATTATTATATTATATTATAAAGTATGACTCAGAACATTACTCATTAAAATGATTTACATATTGAACAGTAATTTAAACGATCAAAAGAAAATCAGTAGAGCCCTTTGTGAGATATATGGCATAGGGGATCAGCTATCTAAGCAAATATGCGACGATTTAGGGATTAGCACTGATCTAAAGGTAAACGATCTTTCCCCATCACACATTGACTTGTTAAGTCAAACTATTCCACAAACCTATCTCATTGGCGCAGAGTTGCAGGGAGAGACAAGAAAAAGCAAGGAGCGCCTAGTGCTTGTATCTAGCTATAGAGGGATTCGTCATTCTCAAGGCCTCCCAAGCCGTGGGCAAAGAACGCATGGGAATGCCCAAACTGCTCGCAAGGGGAGGTTCAATCTTTCAAAAACTGTCAACAAGAAAAGAAGCCCAAGGGGTTAGTGGGCCACGCCTCACAGAGGAGGACTCTATTTCTTCAAAATAGAGGAATTCGACGTATGCTGAACGAGTTGTGGGGCCCCTGCCCCATCCCAATGAACCCCATCTCCCTATACCCCAAAAGCAATTTACATAGCCTTAAAGATTTCTTGTATTATGCAACAAGTTTAAAAATAGAGCCTATTATGTTAAGTCCAAAACGCACTAAATTTCGAAAACATCAGAAAAGATCCAGAAAGGGAGTTCAATCCAATACCACAGATTTAAGATTTGGTCGGTATGGGATAAAGTCTTTAGAGAGTGGTAGCATCCATGCAAAAACCATTGAGGCTGTTCGTCGTGCCATAACCCGTAAGTTAAAAAGGGGCGGCCAGGTGTGGATAAGGATCTTCCCTGATTTAGTGGTTACTAGAAAACCCGCAGAAGTTAGAATGGGTAAGGGGAAGGGTTCCCCATCTTTCTGGATTTGTCAGGTACAGCCCGGGCAAGTTCTCTATGAAATGGACGGTATACCATCCTCTCTGGCAAAGCAAGCTGCCAATCTGGCTTACCACAAGTTGCCCATGAGAACTACTTTCCTTGAGATGCTATAATAGGGTTGAGGTTTTCTCTTTTTAGAGAAGTTTACTCTGCTCTTCTTCTCCAGCACTGCGTCGGCAAAGTAATGCGCAATACCCTCCCCTCGATAGCCGGGGGTGGCCAGCGAACCCCAAGCCCCCAAAAAGGTTACGAAATTGTCGATGTGGATTCTACGAAATAAAGGTAGACTCTGTCTCTTTAAAGAAATAGAAAAAAATAATGAAACACACTTAAAAAGTAACATTCCTCAAAGCTACCAACCTTTATACCGAAAGATCTTACCCTCACAAACCCCTAATACTGAAAGAGGTCACCTTTAACAGACTTGACAAAAAACAGGGAATTTCTCTTTCTAGTAGATGTAAATCCCCTTGTTAAACAAAACAAAAAAAGTGAAATAATGAAAAAACGTTTTTTAGACAGATTTACATACCCCTACCTAGAAAAAAAAGTACCGGAAAACATTGTGCCGGGAAGGGTATTGAGCAACAAGCGTATTAAGTTGCTCTTGAAAAGCAAAACATTAAAGACCTCGATCACAAGTCTATCCTCCTCTATCGGATGGGGAAGGGGGATGGGAAAGGGGCCCCACACCACAGCCTCTAGCCAACGAACCCTTGCTGGGAATAAGATCTCTAACAGATCCCCCGGCCTTTGGCTTCGGTTGATCAAGGGCACTCTACGGCTGCACAAAAGCAAGCTGGGAGGGGAGAGTACCCCATGGTTGAAAATAGACACCTTGGAACGGGGATCGTTAGCCTCAGCTGTAGATTCCTCTTTAGGGATTAAGTTGGGCGATGGAGGCCCTGCCCTCTGTGGCCCCCGATCCAGTAAGGTGTGGGTTAAGACCCTCTCTGATGAAAAAGCTCCAGCCCTTTCTCTAGGGGAGCCAAAGGATACCGTGCGAACGTCTCAATTAAGAGGAACAGTCCCTTTTGCTGAGGGACATGCCTCTCTTTACTCCTCCATTCAGCTTGAGGAGGCATTAACCAGGCAACAGGAGAGACGTCCCTCTCCGCTTCTACTGAAGCTACTGGAAAGAAATAAGCTTCGAATCATGTATGGCAACATGGCCAATCGAGAAGTAGACAAGCTAATAAAGAGGGGGTTCTCCGCGCGTGGTGGAATGAATGACAACCTTTTCAAGTTGTTGGAGAGCCGGATAGATGTTTTCCTCTGCAGAGTAGGCTTCCTTGCCACTATCCCTTGTGCACGCCAATGGATACACTATGGAAAGGTATTGATAAACCAGAAGATCACAACCAGCGCAAGTCACATGTTAAAGGCTGGAGACATAATTTCAATATCCACAAGCAATCTCGCACCCCTTAGAGAAAGTCTGCAAGAAAGATCTTGCAAGCTCTCTCTTTCAAATCGCGTAGAGCCTGGAGTTTCCTTACCATCTCAAGACCTATCCCGCTTCAGGAGAAGCGGCAAGGCAAAACAGGGAGGCGTCCAGTTGCCAAATGATTTCTCCAAGTTTGTGAGATCTGCATCGCATAACAATGCAACCCGCGTGTCCCCTTATAAACCTGCCGAAATCGCACGACGTGTTTCACACGTTGCTCGAAGAGAGCGGTTGCGATGGTTCAACCTTAAACCGACTTATGCAGAGATTTCTTTCCGCTGTCTTACTGCTATCTATTTATATCCACCCCAGCAAGTTCTCCTTCCTGCCATGGTAGATGTAGAAAAGATTAGCAAGTACTAAATTGTATAAATGTAAGGGGTTTGACCGCCTCTGGAGTCTGCCTTGAATTAAAATTGAGATCCCAATTATGATTTAAGGCAGGCCATGGGTTAATGTGGACTCTATGTGCCCCCTGGTAGACAAAGTCTACCAGGGGGCACATATAAATATAAGATTCTGTGCTCCACATATAATAAAGATTGGTAAGAAGTTAATAATAACAACAATCTACAAGACCGACTACAAAACCAAGTAAAAAATAAACAAGATTTGCATGTCTCGCTCAGTTTGGAAATTACCCTTTTCTGAAATATCTTTCTCCCCTCAATTATCCCACGACAGAAGAGAACAACAGAAAACTAAGATTTGGTCACGCCGCTCTACGGTGTTACCTCAATTTATAGGAAGAAGCTTCCTTGTATACAATGGAAAAATATTTATCCCAGTAAAGGTTTCCGAAGAGATGACTGGCCACAAGTTTGGGGAGTTTGCCACTACCCGAAAAAGACCTACTCACAAGCTTAGCAAAAAGAAACAGTCAAGGAAGAAATAATTAGTGTCGCATATCGGGTGTCTCTTTCCACACGTTCATCAATACACCCTAAGAAAAGGTCCCTTATATGAGTTGATATACAAAGTCCCATGTGAGTACAAAATTCTCCGTGCAAACAACCTTCTCAAGAGGCAGATTAAAAAAAAGATCTCAATCATAAACTTTATCTACCAGTGAATTTAAAAAGGTAGATTGAGAAAAAGAGATCAAGTGATAACTGCTTTATAAACAACAAGTGTCTCCCTGCAAGCTTATTCCCCACTCTGTGTATAAAGGTGGTTTCAACGCCACACAAAATGGACAGCAGAAAGCAGTAAAGAGATTAACAACGGTATTGCGCCATAACATCAACCAAAGTGGTTGGTCTAATAATTGCGTAACAATACAAACCTCCAAGAGGAAAGTCTTTCAAAAAAGCTTCTGCAAAAAACTAGGTTTTATGACAAAAAGAAAAAAATTACTTCAATTACATCAAATTAAAAAACATCTAAGGGAGAAAAAGATTCTACTTTTTTATCAATATAACAATATTAACACGCGGAATTGGGTAGTATTGAGAGGGGAGTTGTTGAGCGAGATCCCTAGTTGCCAGTCATCGCCCATACCCAGCCCACCGTTTAACAACTCAGATAATGTGGAGACTACCAATCATGAATCTTCTATCTCTACACTAGTGGTTAAGAGCAAAATTGGTCAATTGTCCCTTGCAAAAGCATTGACACAGGTAGAGTGTATGGCTAATACCGACAACCTTTCTCGGTGTCCAAGCAACGATACCAAATGTGCTGAATTGTTTCAAGGGCCTACATTCTTGTTTGCATGCAACTCGCATCATGAAATGGTAATGGGGTGCAAGGTAATTGAAAAGAAGAGAGATCGATACAACAACAATCACCTCATTTTACTAGGTGGGCTTTATTATGGCAAAGTTGTAACGCATCTTGATATTGCTAAGCTGTCTTCCCTTGATTCTTCAATCTATGCCTCACTGCTTGTTACATTGGAAAACAGGACTACCTCGCTTTTGTTCGACCAACTCTCATATTATCAATATGAGTTGTTGCGTTGTTTAGAGCATCGCAGAGACACCCTATCTGGTATCACAGAATAAAGCAGGTATATAAAATTACCAACCTTGAATAAGATCATCCATTTTTGTTTTTCCACCTTGAGAAATCATTTCTCATGCGCGAGAAGCTGTATGAACCCACTGGTAGATTATATCTAACATTGAGAAACTGGCAAAAAATGATAAGGCGGTTAAAAATCAAGTGAGGAGGTTCTGTCAACCTATCTGCAGCTTGCATGTAGATAGAAGTGCTCGTAACTCAATTGGATAGAGTGTCAGATTACGGCTCTGAAAGTTGAAAGTTCAACTCTTTCCGAGCACACAGAGAGCAATTTTATTTCTCAATGTTAGATATAATCTAACATTAATAGACTTTATCTATCAGTAGACTTCGTGTTATCTACTTGTCAACTTGTACTATCTACTTATCTACAATAATAAATTCAGGGAGAGAGCGCTCTCTAGAGCGTCTGAGCGCAACCTATTACCTATGTTGAGCAAAGCAAAGAGAGCTTCCCTAATGCGCTAAATGACGCCTTCTTCCAGATTTGCAGTGCAGTGAACGTCAATTCACTCACATGACAGGAAATACATTATTGTATGGACTCATTTTCTCTCTGCTCTTTATTTCCATAAAATGGGGAGAAGAGCCCTCTATTTCACTGGTAGACTTTGTCTACCAGTGAAATAGAGTTTACTTTAATTTTTTATGGAAATAGAGTCCACCTCTTTAGAACCTAGATAGAAGACCAAAAATAAAAGATTTAGAGCAATTAATTATTCAGCCATTAAGAGCTTTGGGTGGATGCCTTGGCAGAGCAGAGAAGAGACGTTACACATAACGAAATACCATGGGAAGGCTTGTAATCCCTGAGATCCATGGTTTTCTCGTCGGGAAACCTTAATTTAAACATACCTAGTGAACTGAAACATCTTAGTAGCTAGAGGAAAAGAAATCAACCGAGATCCCGTTAGTAGTGGTGAGCGAACCCGGGAAAGGCCAGTTCTTTCCCCATTTTGTCAAGAAACAAAGATGGGGGGATGTGTAGGTTGAACACACATCCATGCATCATTCAGTGATGCATCATACGTTTTCACAGCAAAAAATCAAAATAAGGAGTGGAATCCCATGCCATAGAAGGTGAAAGCCCTGTAGATTTTAGCCCATCAACAATCCGTTCTCCCCAACACAACAACTGACCTTTTCATCAAAGAGTATAGTCTACCATGCATTGAACATCAATGAAGATGATAACGAGATACCATTCTGTGACGGTAAAGGTTAATGTTGGCGAACAAATATTCGATTATTGAGAAAACATTAATAAGAACACAGTGAGTAGAGCGAGATACACATCTTGCTTGAAGATAGAGGGACCACCCTCTAAGCCTAATCATGCTGCTCTGACCGATAGTGAACTAGTACCGTGAGGGAAAGGAGAAACAGCACCCCAGGTGGGGAGTGAAAGAGATACTAAAACCCAATGCTTACAAGCAGTTGAAGCTTGTTCAATCCGCCCCCCCAAACCTTTGGAGAGGAAAAAGATTGACGAGTGACAGCGTACCTTTTGCATAATGGGTCAGCGAGTAAGTTGATGCAGCAAGCTTAAGTCATTAGACGTAGGCGTAGCAAAAGCGAGTCTTCACAGGGCTAAGGGGCCTTGTCCCCAATTAGTTGCATCAACTTTACCCGAAACCGGGTGATCTAGCTATGAGCAGGTTGAAAGGGGGGTAACACTTTCTGGAGGACCGAACCCGTGTCTGTGGCAATAGGCAGGGATGACTTGTGGCTAGGGGTGAAAAGCCAATCGAACTCGGAGATAGCTGGTTTTCTGCGAAACCCATTTAGGTGGGGCGTAAAATAGATTCTCTCCTCAAATAAATTGCACCTGCAATGCTCCATAATAGAGTTGAGAACAGGAATGGTGGGGGGGGTAGAGCACTCCATGGGAAAGGGTGGCCCAAAGCCTTACCGATTCCAAGGAAACTCCGAATACCCTTACCAATCTTTTACAGACAGGCTTTGGGTGCAAAGGTCCAAAGCCGAGAGGGAAACAGCCCAGATCGTACGCTAAGGTCTCCAAGAGACAACTAAGTGGGAAAGGAAGTTTCTGGGCAAAGACAACCAGGAGGTGGGCTTGGAAGCAGCCATCCTTTGAAGAAAGCGTAATAGCTCACTGGTCTAGCCCAGATGCGCCGAAAATGTCACGAGGCTCAAGTTGTCCACCGAAGCGACGGCTTCTGCTAGAACAGCAGAAGAGTAGCAGAACGTCCTGTAAATTATTGAAGGCAAGCTGTCAAGCTTGCAAGAGATATCAGGAGTGAGAATGCTGACATGAGTAACGCGAAATCATGTGGAATTCATGATCGCCGCAAGTTCTAGGGTTCCCACAGATGTAATTCGATGTGGGTTGAATCGGCCCCTAAGGGCACAGCGAAAGTTTTCCCCGATGGGTACCTCCCAAGTGACGAGGTCTCCTTTCTGCACATGTTTTGAATGTGACGAACCAGTTTCGACAGGAGTTTTCATTTAGAAGATATGCACGAGACAGAAAAAGATAGAGGATATTGGATGTCACTACCATTCTAGGGCCTCCTGGAAAGAACTTGGGAGATGGCCAACAAATGCATCAGTCGATAGATATCTTCTACGGAGTGGTGCTTGGTCAGTAGACCGTACCTAAACCAACACAGGTGAACTGGTTTAGTAAACCAAGGCGATAGAGAAAACCATGTTGAAGGAACTCGGCAAATTGACTCCGTAACTTCGGGATAAGGAGGGCCTTCTTGCCCCAAAGCAAGAAGGCGGCACAGAATAGGGGGTGGCGACTGTTTATTAAAAACACAGGACTCAGCCAAATGGCAACATCAAGTATTGGGTCTGACGCCTGCCCGGTGCTGGCAGCTAAAAGGGAGGGGTAAAATCGAAATTTTCGAAAAAGCTCTCAACTGAAGGTCCAGTAAACGGCGGCCGTAACTCTGACGGTCCTAAGGTAGCGAAATTCCTTGTCAGGTAAAACAACAACTTGCCTGAGGGAGAGAGTGATCTCACCCATGTACACTGACTCATAACGGGGAAAGCTAACCCATCGAATCATAAAAAGGAAGGATTCAATCTCAGTTACTTATTAAGCATCTGAGTCATGCAGGGTGGTATGCCAATCCCGTGGGAAGCCCCTTTGAAAAATCACTGGTAGATTGTATTTACCTTTGGATTCACTTATTCTCCCTGAAAAGGGTAAAAGATAAGTAATTTACGACTCTATTTGATAGAGTCCAGACCTAAAGAACTAACAAGCAAGAGGCATTGTACAATGCCAGGTCAAGGGGCCCTGTAACGACTGACTCGAAAGAGGAGGCTCCTGTAGAGGAAAGGGATCTAAAACCCACTTCCAACAATGTTAGATGGTGAAATCTAACATCGAAATTACTAGGAGCAATACGCCAGCCCTTGTCAGTTCTAAGCCGATTATGGATACTCGAGCTTGTATTACTAATCTTCTCTTCCGAAGAAATAGAGGATGACTCTGTTTAAAAAAAAACAGAGGATGACTCTCTTCCGAAGAAATAGAGGATGACTCTGCTTAAAAAAAACAGAGGAGTATTAATAAGTTTCAGCTAGGGTAACCTACTTTCAGGCGGCAAGGTGAAAGGATAGTCTATACCCCTTAGAAATGAGGGATAAATAAAAAAAGAGGATTTATGGGAAAAACCAAGTTAGAAACGGAATTGTTTGAAAGAAGTTCAACGGAGTGGAACCATTACCTGTCAGGGTTTATCGACGGAGAAGGCTGCTTCTCAGTTAGTTTTACTTTACGGGAAAAGATGAAGTATGGTGTTGAAATCAGACCCAGCTTCTCCATTGGACAATCTATCACCAAAGACAATTATCTTTTATTGGAACAAGTAAAGAGAGTGCTAGGTTGTGGGGCGATTAGGGTCAGCAAAAGTGACCGATGCTATAAGTATGAGACCCGCAATTTAACCGACATAAGAAAGAGTATAATTCCCTTTGTTGAGGCCTACCCTCTTTATTCCAGTAAGAGGAATGATTTCTTACTTTTTGCCCAGATTTGCTCGCTCATTGCAAACAAATCCCATCTTACCCCGGAAGGGATAGAGAAGGTGATTGACCTCTCTTTCTCAATGAACGAGAGTGGCATCCGCAAAACAACACGAGCTAAACTATTAGAAACAATAGAGAAGAGGCGTACTTTGTTGTTCTTGAATCACTGATAGATTTTCTATCATTGAAAAATGCGGACTTAAAGGTAATACTAATACCTTTAAGGCGGACTTAAAGGGAAACAAACCCTTTAAGGAGTAAAAACTATGAAGTTCTGACCTGCATGAATGGCGTCACGACTGCCCCGCTGTCTCCAACATGGGCTCAGTGAAATTGAAATCTCCGTGCAGATGCGGAGTTCCCAAAAAAAGACGGTAAGACCCTATGCACCTTTACTACAATTTGCTGCTGAGGGAAGAGATGTATCGTGTAGAATAGGTGGGAGCCACCCCTACCATGATTTTGTGGTGGATAACATCATGAAGTGATGTAAGGGACTGGGCGTCGTTGAAATACCACCCTTTACATCTCATCCTTCTAACCTGGGTAAAGATAGAGACAACAGCAAATGGGTAGTTTCATTGGGGCGATGGCTTTCAAAAGAGTATCGAAAGCGTGCGAAGGTAGGCTCAAGCTGGTCGGAAACCAGTAGAAGAGCGCAATGGTATAAGCCTGCCTGACTGCAAGACCAACACGTCGAGCAGGGACGAAAGTCGGCCATAGTGACCCGGGAGCACTGTGTGGAATGGCTCTCGCTCAACGGATTAAAGGTACGCTAGGGATAGAAGCTAATATTAGCATGTTGTCCCGCCTAATGGCAACATTAGGGCAAAAAGCAACCACTGGTAGGGCCCCTGACGGGCCAACCAGTGATCTCCATTTACTCAATCACTACAATAAATGGACAACTGGGTGAATTGCAGGAAAGCTGTCCCCTACCTGTTGCATCACTTTGTGATGTCTAAGGAAGAGATGGGGTGCCAATCTGCAGCGAAGCTTGCCGAAAAGAACCTGAACTATTCAAAAAGTAGTCAGGGTGTAGGCAGGAACGTTCAACGACTAGAGGGTGAGGAGTTCTTACCAATAATCCTTCCACGAGCGCCCAGCAACTCTAAACTCATGAAGAATCAATGATAGATTTTTCTATCGTTGAAGAATCACAGATAGACAAAGTCTATTAGAAATAAACATTAAGGAAACCTTATGCAAGACGAAAAGGGGAGAAGCAACTTTTCTTATTTACGCAAGGAGGAGATCGGGAAAAGCCGCAACCTCTTGAAGAGATACAAGCAACAGCTTGATTGCCTGAGCAAGGAGCAAAAGGATGTCGCAATAGGGGTAATGCTTGGAGATGGTTCATTGCAGACCCAAAATGGTGGGAAAAGCTATAGATTGAAGTTGTTACAAGGTGGAAAGAATAGGGAATACCTATTTCATCTCTGTGATGTCTTCTCCGAATGGGTTCTTTCACCACCATCGCCACAGCATCGCAAATCAGTGGCAACCGGAAAAGTGCTGGAAGCTTGGAGGGCACAAACCATCTCCCATCCAGCTTTTAATGAGCTCGCGGAAATCTTTTTGGACGAGAAAGGGAGAAAGATTCTTCCTACCACTCTTGTAAGAGATCATCTTACACGCGTGGCCTTGCATACTGGCTAATGGATGATGGGGGAAGGTCTAACTACAACAAGGATCGTCCCGAGCTGAAGGGAATCACCATCAACACCCAGGGATTCACTGAGGCAGAGGTTCACTCGCTAGCAAGCGGGCTAAAGCTTTATTTTAGACTTGATTGCTGGGTTGGGCGAAACAAGGGCCGATGGACGATTATCATCTCTGGCCTTTCATTTCAGCACCTTGCCAAAATGATCGGTCCCTACATCCACCCATCGATGGGTACAAGTTCCCAAAGGGTATGGAGATAGATTCTATTTTGAAAAATAGAGATGGACATTCTTTCTAAAAAACTTTTTTTAAAGTCTTGCATCCTTCTGCCCCGGGAGGGGCGCCCTAAGCTCTCTCGATGGCCTTGCGACCCACGGGTTGTGGGAAAGAGCTCCCACACGTGCACTATCCCCCCCATCTCAATTTCTGAAAATATAAGAGTTATAGTAGAGTTGATGAAATAGTCTGAACTTATGGGAAACCACAAGAAGTGAGGGATAAAGAGCCCTCACGGTAACAAAACTGAACAGGCTAATGACTCCCAAGAGCTCATATCGACGGAGTCGTTTGGCACCTCGATGTCGACTCATCGCATCCTGGGGCTGGAGAAGGTCCCAAGGGTTCGGCTGTTCGCCGATGAAAGCGGTACGTGAGTTGGGTTTAGTGCGCCGAGAGGCAGTACGGTTCCTATCTTTTTTGGGTGTGTGAAACTGAGAGAATCATTCCTTTGTACGAGAGGACCGGGAATGGTAAACCTCTGGTCTACCAGTTGTTGCGCCAGCAGCATCGCTGGGTAGCTACGTTTAGATCGAGTAACTGCTGAAGGCCTATCAAGCAGGAAATCGTGTCTCAAAACAAGTTTCTAGACTCGTAGAAGATCACTACGAAATAGGCGGAGAGTGGAAACACAGCAATGTGGGAGCTTATCCGTACTAATGGGCTGGATAATTTTATTTTTCAATACCACAGCCGAATCTCTAATTTTATGCCACAACAAGCTAAGAAAATTCGTATTCTACACAAAGCAACCCACTTACACATTCTTACCACAACCAAAAGGGTGAGAAGAGAGAAGATAAAAGAAGAAGAAAAGAAGAGAAGCAAAAATAAGAAAACCAGATAAAACTCACTAATAGATAAAGTTTAACATTGCGCCCACTGGTTGGGCCCTCAGGCCCCTACCATTGAAAGCAGAAGAAAAAAACAATTCTTGTCAGTGATAAAAAAAGAGCAAAACAATAAGATTAGAAGGGTGAAAACTCGGCTAATCGAGCAAAACATGATGAGTTTGATCCTGGCTCAGAATGAACGCTGGCGGTAGGCCTTACACATGCAAGTCGAACGGAGGGAAAGCTGTTGGTATAAACCAACTGGATCTAACTTCGTGGCGAACGGGTGAGTAACGCGTGAGAATCTGCCTTCTACTACGGTGGAAAAGAGGTGGCCAACTCTGTTGACCAATGCTCTTGAATCCCGTATAAAACCAAAAAAAGACATAACAGTCGGTAGAAGATGAGCTCTCGTAGGATTAGGTAGTTGGTGAGTTAAAAGCTCACCAAGCCAAAGATCCTTAGTCGGTCTGAGAGGATGATCGGCCACACTGGGACTGAGACACGGCCCAGACGCTTTCGAGCGGCAGCAGTGAGGAATCTTGGACAATGGGCGAAAGCTTGATCCAGCCATACCGCGTGAGGGATGAAGGCTAAATGGGTTGTAAACCTCTGACCTGAGTCTAGATTGTGACATGGATTCAGGGAAAAGTCCCGGCTAATAATATTGGCCCCTGGGGAGGTGACCTCCCAGGAGAACTTGGCTCATAACGGTGAAACCCTAACGAAGTAGCGGTAGGGAGACCTTCTTCGATCAATACGTCGATCAGTGATATTAATCAAGAAGGAGAGATCCCTGGGTGGTGCTCATAACCAATGAGTGCCCCCCTCAGGCGAGGGCAATACCGTGGGAAGTCTACGTAGTGAAAACAGATTGGAAAGAATTAGAAGTTATGCTAGGTAATAATATTATATCTGTTACTAAGGTTTAAGACGGCATGATTGCTGGGAGCCTTCTTAACGATGCCCATTTGCAGAAGACCAGGGCAAGCACACAGCGCTGTCGGTTGCGAATACGTGACAGCGCGGCACAGAGACAATATGTAGACTGGAAGCACAGCGTTCATATAAACCCGTTTTGCGCCAACACCCGATTGTCTCATGAAACGTCAAGACCTGGCGAATATCAATTTTATACCATGTATACAGACAGCTTCTCTTCTTACCATTCCACCTGGTACATTAGGAGAGAAACATCAAAATTCCTGAAAGTTGTTCCAAGCAATATACAGGACCTCCTTACAAATCCAATCTCGTTGGCTGTTTGGTACCTAGATGACGGCTCAAAAGGAAAAGATTATGAGGTGTGTCGATTGGCAACCATGAGGTTCTCGCATCAAGAGAAGACTGAGCTTGTAAAGTGCCGACGGGCTAATTTGGGCTTAGAGCCCAAGACCGAGGCCGTATACCCCTAACAGGGGTAGGAGGTCCACTCTAAGGGTTTTCCTTCCCGAGTAAGGCCTATGGATACAAGAGACTCAAATCATTGATATATCCTTTTATCGAAGCCGAGATACCAAACATGCTTTTTAAGCTGCAATGACCCCGTAACGACTGAGGAAATAGAGTGATGGCGCATAAAAGGTAAACTTTATTACTTTTCAGGAATGAAAGAAACTTTTCTCTAAAAAGAGGAAATCTTTATGCGCCATCTCTCCAGAATACAAGATGGTTACCTTTTATCTCCCTTTTACTTGTTTTTACTAAAAAAAACCACTAATTATGCTTGTAATGGGTTAGACATATGTAAATGGTAACCATAACACGCCGAGCTCTTGGTTTCATTGCCAAGATGATGGTATAGTCTGTGCCCCAAGAAACTGGGGAAGAACATGAACTCCGTGCCAGCAGCCGCGGTAATACGGGGGGGGCAAGCGTTATTCGGAATTACTGGGCGTAAAGGGCATGTAGGCTGCCAATCGCCACCCCTGCTTGAACAAATTTGTAAGTCTTATCCCGACATTACATGTGCAGTGATGCAGACGATGTAAATAATGCAGATGCATGATCTGTATCCTTTATCTTATTAAAGGTTCAACATGAACCTCAAGAGCTCTCCATATAAAAAAATGGTGGGTTTTGGCAAATTCCTGGGCCCACCCGAGGGTTGCCAAGGGGTATTAACCTTTCTCAGTAAGAGATTGGTTTTTTTGGGTTTGGCTGGAGTAAGCTAGAGGGGAGTGGAATTCCTGGAGTAGGGGTGAAATCTGTAGATACCAGGAGGAAGGCCGAATGCGAAGGCATCTCCCTAGGGCTTAACTGACGCTGAGGTGCGAAAGCGTGGGTATCAAAGAGGATTAGAGACCCTTGTAGTCCACGCCCTCAACCATGAGAATTCATTATCAGGCAATTACAACCTAACGAAAATCCGTCTAAATCTGTGATTTTGCTTGGTGATCTAGCTAACGCGTTAAATTCTCCGCCTGAGGAGTACAGCCGCAAGGCTAAAACTCAAAGGAATAGACGGGGGCTCATACAAGTGGTGGAACATGTGGTTTAATTCGAAACAACGCGCAGAACCTTACCAGCCCTTGACATTAATTCGATCTTGACCTTTATCGGACAAGAAAACAATTAACAGGCGTTGCATGGCTGTCGTCAGCTCGTGTCGTAAGATGTTTGGTTAGTTCCTTTAACGAGCGCAACCCTCATGAGATCTTGCCAGCAATTCCTTCAGGTTTGGGAGTCTTAAGACAGAAATGCCTATAAAACACCTTTCACATTTTTATGGAGAAACAAACCAAGAGATGAATTGCTACTGTTCTCAAACTGCCTGTGATATACAGGAGGAAGGTGAGGATGACGTCAAGTCGTCATGACCCTTATGGGCTGGGCTACACACGTGTTACAATGGCAACCACAAAAGGAAGCAATGGTGCAAGCCGGAGCAAATCCTAAAAAAGTTGCCCTAGTTCGGATTGCTCTCTGCAACTCGAGAGCATGAAGTTGGAATCACTAGTAATCGTGGATCAGCACGCCACGGTGAATCTGTACCTGGGCCTTGTACTCCCCGCCCGTCACGCTCCGGGAGTCGAGTGGCTTAGAAGTCCCATCAACCTTCTTCTCATGTTGCTCTTGCATTGCCAAACAATGCACGACCGTGCCCCTGTGATACGCCGTGGTGAGGCTCTCATTGCGGAAGAGATGAGTTACACGAGAAAAGACATTGAGTGACCAAGAACTGTTTGGCAACTGGAGCGAAGTCGTAACAAGGTAGCCGTAGGGGAACCTGCGGCTGGATTGACTCCTTAAACTTGAAAGGGTTAAGTCGACCTTAAACAAACAAACCCTTTCCCCTTAAGTCCGCCTTAAACTAAGTCTCTCTTAAACCGCTTAGCTCTAAAATTCTTTTTTTCTAATTAAAATTTAAAGTTCTCCTTTTTTCCCCTTGACTTTTAAGTCCGCATTCTTAAAAATGGACTCAATGTGCCCACTGGTAAATATAATCAACCATTGAAATCAACAGCAAATTAACATCTTTGCACTGACGAACGAGATTTTAGAGGTGCAAGCCTTTCAAGGCCTTACCTTTTTATTGCGTTTCTACCTGCGTTTGCGTGCACTTAGAAGTTCGTTAGCCATCTCTTCACTGACTGTCATGCCCAACCGCATAACAGAGAAGGCTCTCTTACGTATACGGTGCAATGCTTCTTAATGCTCTACAAGATTAAAATGCTTTTATAGATTAAAGATAAATGAAAAATTCTTCTTCAGGAAGAAAAGAACTCAAAGATAGAGAGAGAAATTTATAGTAAGTAAAGCCTTTGCTATACAGTAGGACTCAAAACCTTGGGTTTTAAGTAAAGTAGAGTGTAAGATTTCGAATCTACAATTCTGATCAGAAGAGAATCTCTAATAGCTCAGCGGTAGAGCGGACGGCTGTTAACCGTTAGGTCGTTGGTTCAAATCCATCTTAGGGAGTAACTTCTCCTCTCAAAAAAATAGGCTTTACCAGGCTTAGCCATTAAGGCCCGTGCTTAGCTATTTGCCCCTTTTCTGGCCGGAAAGTAGATGTCCGTTACTGGCTAATAACTTAAGGTTAGGGTCCCTCTACATCCCTCTGCCCCCGAACGGAGCAACAGGTGTCTATCGAATCCCCAAACTGGACTTTTTAAAGGCTACTTCAGCTAAAGAAAGTGGTAAAAACCAATTTTATTCACTTACAAAGAAACCTTTCTATTTTCATCAAAATGAAATCCACTTTCCCCTCAATATCAAATCCAATGGTAGACTATATCTACCAGTGGGCATATTGGTTTGCAATGACATAAAATTTCAAAAAAAACAATACACATCTATCTATGGGACAGAAAGCCAACCCGGTTTTGTTAAGATTAAAAACAACAAACAAGAACTTTGACTCTTGTTGGTACAGTGATCTACATTATTCCACTCTGTTAAGTCTTGAGCTTAGGGCACGATCTTACATTGAAAAGGTTTTCGAGCAGATCCGATACCCAAAACCTTTGATATCATTATCTTTGATACCAAAAAGGGGGAAAGTTTTAACGTTTTACCTGAATCCAGAAAGATTGCGGGGTCAAAGAAATGAAAGATTTCAATTAAAATCATTTATGCCACCACGTAATGTGGAGAGTCATGCCCACCATTTGCCCTCTCGATCCACAGAAGCCTCCCACATGCTTGGGTTTGATGGTGGTGTAAGAACTCTCAGATCTCTATTAGTTAAGGGCTCATTGCTAGATGGAGAACCACGCAGCTCAAGCTGGAAACCTGGAATCAACCAGGTACAACCCAACCGTCCTTGGGAAAGGCCCCCTGGCAGTTACAAAGAAGGTGGGTGGATGCCAAATTGGGAGAGAAGGCTCTTTATTTATTCCACCCTATTGTCCATAACCAAGAGGAGAAGCAACACAGTAAGGTTACTTTTTGATAAAGATTTTACACTTTTTCACAGAGTAGAGGACCTGGTTTGGTTTCAAGGAAGAGAGGAGAGTTACCTGTCATCAACCAATCGCCGTCTACCCATAAACGACAAGCAAGCAGGGGGGACGTTGACTCGTGCTAATAAATCTAAGGGTCGAGGGATTCCCTTCTCCAGATCACGGGGTTCATTAACCACCCATTGGAGCGCAGGGGCCCCGTCCCCCTTAACCCGGGACGGTCATCAAGTGGGCAAGTCCTCTAGCCGTGGGAGCTCTTTGAGTAGGGGGAGCTACACAACCCAGGCACCTTTGGCTCGTGGGCTGCACACATGCTGCGCACGGGGCTTGCCTCTAATAAGGGGTTTAACGGACACCTTAACATCACCCCCTGTTGTTCCAGCGCAACTTTCACATTCAGGGAGTAACCTTATCAAGCGCAACAAGGATATAATGTATTGGGTAAATACCGACACACGTGCGGTAAGATCTGTGTATACCACCACTAGTTTCATTAGCCCTACAGAGACGGCTAGAGAAGTTGAGGCCAGATCATCTGCGGGGCATTCCTCACCCGGTGCATCAAAAAGAAGGGGTTGGGGTTCGTTGACCACCCCTGCGTTGGCCAGGTGCGGCCATCGAGCCCCCGCCGATCGAGCCACCGGCCGAAGGGGCCCCACAGATGAGCCTTTGGTAAGAAGACGAGCACTTGTCCCCGAAATAGGCGTTAAATCGAACAGATTAGATGGCTACCTCTGGCCAAAACCCTCGATCAGAGAGATTCGTCGCGGAGATGCACACTCTTCAATCTGTTTTATGGAGATTGCGCTTGGTAGAGGGTTAGGGATTTCCACCACAATTTACCCATATAAATCCATCGAAGAGGAGCAGACTGCACAATTCCTCTCTGAAGAGATAGCTTACTACTTGGAGCGTAGAATACCATTTCGGCGTATAAAACAGGCTTTAATTCGAGAGCTACAGAAAAAATACATTGAAGGGATCAAGGTGAGCTGCTCCGGCCGAGTGGGTGGCCGCTCGAAGAAGGCACAGCGCTCTCGGGAAGAGAGTTTCCAATGGGGTCAAACATCTTCCCACGTCTTCTCTTCAAAATTATCGTTTGCTTCTCGAAGCGCTTTAACTCCATTTGGGAAAGTTGGTATAAAGGTTTGGATTTGCTACAAATAGAACTTGCAAAGCCATTTAGAGCTCTAAAAATCGATGTGCTCACTGGTAGATTATATCTACCAGTGAGCACATCGAAACTCCCTCTCAACCAGAGGTTGAGCGCAAAAATTCCAATGTACATTCCACCTATAATAGGATTTTACCTAAAGTAGAATTTTTGATTTTGCCTAAAGTAGAGACCTTAACTCTACGTAAAGTAGAGATCTTAAGCTTACCCCGAATTGCTAATTGCGGCTGATAAGCACATTGTCAATATCCATTTTTTTTTTCAAGAAGAACATTTGATTAATAAAATCAATGGGTAAACCAAATCTACCAGTGGGCACAAAAAACCAATAACATAAAATGGCAAATCAAAAGCAAAGAGACAACAACCGCAGACAACTTTGTAAAAAGCAAGAATTGAAAAGGATAGAGTACAAATCAATAATTCAAGATCTTTCCCTGCCTTATAGGATTAGGTTCAAGTCACTCCAGATGCTGAACAGTTTGAATCGGAATGGATCTCCAACGCGATTGAGGAACCGATGCATAGCAACTGGTCGAGGGCGTGGGGTGTATCGCTTTTGTAAGCTTTCGCGCGTGACGTTTCGTGAAATGGCTTCCCAAGGGCTCTTAATGGGGGTAACCAAATCGAGTTGGTGAAAAGTTTCTATTTTTCTATAAAGAAAGAGATCTACCTCTATTTGTTTAAATGGTTGAGATGCAGTAGGAAATCCTAAAACCAGTTTCTACGGCTCTATTGCAACAAACACGAAGCATTTATTCTGCTTCCTGATTCCGCAATAGAGTAAAGCAAACGGCTCTTTACTGTGCTTGTACCAGCCTGCTCAAGTGAGTACCGTTTATTTTGAGAAAAAAATATAATTTTCCAGGAGTGGCATCGGCTTAACATCTGTTTGTGCATCAATTTTATAAATGACAAAGGGCTGAGATTTTAGAGAGAGTCGCATATCAAATCAATGAGACCATTGGTAAATAAAGCCTACCATTGAATCTATATTGATTTACATTACCCTGCAATGTGTGATACAATAGAATAAGTGGATAAAACCACAATTCACGCCTATCAATGCTTCTATTTCAATAAATGAAATAAAATCAACATGCAAAATACAGGTTACTAAACTTGCTTCCCTTCTTTACTGTTTGTCCACTAAGTCTGTGACCTGTCATGCACCGCAGATGATTGGTGCACCAAAACAAAAGGATGCTCAACTGCTGATGTGCCCAATGAATGGTAGACTTTGTTTACCATTGATCAACCGATCAACAAGAGTTGATCGAACTGCTCTTGATGTAAAAAAAAGGAAAGTTTATGGCTCTTCATTTAAGCGAAATGTCAACGCTGTTAGAACAGAAGATCTTAAAAAGCTATTCGAAGCTCAACATTGACGAAATAGGTCGTGTCTTGTCTATAGGGGATGGAATTGCCCGTGTTTATGGACTAAACAAGATCCAGGCAGGCGAAATGGTAGAATTTGAGAGCGGCGTAAAAGGAATGGCTCTAAACCTGGAAAGCGACAATGTTGGTGTAGTTCTGTTTGGTAGTGACACTGCTATTCAGGAGGGTGACATTGTAAAGCGTACTGGTGCAATTGTGGACGTGCCAGTAGGTAAAGGGACTCTAGGCCGAGTGGTAGATGCTTTGGGGCAACCGATAGACGGCAAGGGACCGTTAACCGACGTAACGCGTCAACGTGTAGAGGTTAAGGCGCCTGGTATCATTGCACGTAAATCAGTTAGTGAGCCTATGCAAACCGGCTTGAAGGCGGTAGATAGCCTTGTACCAATTGGCCGTGGGCAACGGGAATTGATCATTGGTGACCGTCAAACTGGCAAGACCGCAATTGCCATTGACACCATCTTGAATCAACGAGCAGTAAACTCTGAAGGGAATGACTCAAGTAAGAAGCTGTATTGTGTTTACGTGGCTGTGGGCCAAAAACGCTCAACAGTTGCCCAGTTGGTGAAGATCTTGGAGCGAGAAGGCGCCCTTGATTACTCGATAATCGTTGCGGCCACTGCTTCTGATCCAGCTCCGTTGCAATTCCTAGCTCCTTATTCAGGCTGTGCCATGGGAGAATACTTCCGTGACAATGGAATGCACGCTCTGATAATTTATGACGATTTAAGTAAGCAATCGGTTGCTTATCGACAGATGTCACTTCTGTT